TTTTTCAATTGTGGATTGGGAAATTATGGTACATTTACATGATGCATTAATACACAGCATGCAGGAGCAATGATTTTGTAAATCACTACCTAATTAGGGAGGGACTGGAGAACATTATGCTAAGTGAGCTAAATCAGTTCCATAAGGACAAATATTGTATACAGCCGAGCCTCTAGCTGACTTCCCGTTTATAAAGACCATAAAGTGCAGTGTTCAGAGGCTGTGAAATACCCTTCTTCCTTCCATCGAACAGTTAGTGGGTTTGAACCGCTCCCCTGAAAGTACTCTTGGACCATATTTGTTGTCTAAGGACTTACCGATAAAGTACTGTTTAGTGTGTTTATATCACAGAGCAAATGATTAGATGATGTTAGGGTGTTGTCTGGGGCCTCTGATTGATAGTTACATGTTCAGCTGCCAGTTGAAAGGGTGGCTCTTCAAGGTCATCTGGACATTCCTCATGAGAAAAATCCTCGTGATTTCCTCCTAAAAAATCAGCCATTGAAAACTCTGTGGACCAAAGTTCTCTGTGGACCACAGATTTACACATGGGATTTGCTCTGTTTTGGAACTGACTCAAAAATGACTGGTTATGTGTTTTAACAGCACAGCCAAATATACTAGATTTTTATTTAAGTAATATGAAAGTAATATTACTACTTTAATACTAAATCTATTAAGTAATATTAAATCTAAATATTACTACATAAATTATAAAAATTGCCATTAATGTCACATAAAAATATAATCTTGCTGAAAAAAAAACACCAAAAAACAAAACACACAACCCAAAATGTGGACAGTATATTGACAGGGAAATACCAGAAATTCAAGTTTAAGAAGATAAGGATTAAGAAGAGGCCATTTAATAAAGATATCATTGCTGATATCTGATGAATCTTGATGGAAATCAGAGAATACCAGAAAGATCTTTACTTGATTTTATTGAGTATGCAGATGAATTTAATTATGTGGGTCATAATAAATTATGGGTAATATTGACAAGAGTGGGAATTTCAGAATACTTAAATTGTGTTTATGCAAAACTGTACATAGACCAAGAAGCAATTGTCTGAACAGAATAAAGACATACTGCATGGTTTAAAATCAGGTTTATGAACTTCCTTAATACCTATTCAGTCTGTTTGCTAAGCAAATAATCCGAGAAGCTGGACTAAATGAAGAAGACTGTAACATCAGAATTGGAAGAAGCCTCATTAACAATCTGTATTATACAGATAAAACAAACTTGCATACAGAAAGTGAAGAAGGCTTGAAACACCTATTGAAAAAAAATCAGAATACAGTTTTCAATGGGAATTATTATATCGTAGTATCAAAAAAAAAAAAATCCTTACCACCAGACCAATAGGCAGCATCATGATAGACGAAGAAAAAATTGAAGTTATCATCAACTTCATTTTACTTGAATCTGCAATCAACACGCATGGTAGCAGGTCAGGAAATCAAAAGAGGGTTGCATTAGGAAAATCTACTGTCAAGGACTTCTCCAAAGTGCTAAAGAGCAAGGATGTCAGTTTAACAACTAAGGTACACCTGATACAAACTATGATGTATTCCATTGCTTTATATGTGTGTGAAAGTTGGACAATGAATAAACAATACTGAAGAAGTAATTGCCTTTGAATTGTGATGCTGGCAAAGAGCATTGACTATACGATGGAGTGCCAAGAGAACAGATCTGTCTTGGAGGAAGTGAACCAGGTTGCTCCTTGGATGCAAAGATTGTGTTTGTCTCAGGTATTTTGGGCAAGTTATCCTGAGATGCCAGTTCTTGGAAATGACATCACACTGGGAGAAATAGAGGTTTGGCAAGAGTAGCAGACCCTCAACAAGATGATTGACACAGTGACTGTGATGGTTGGTTGGCTTAAACATTACAGAGATTGTGAAGTTGGCACGGAATGGGAAAAGACTTTTATAAATTGTTCTGTGGACTTCTGTGATTTGTAGTTTGACAGCAGTTACTTGACAGCCCTGACGACAACAAGGTTAATGTCCAGAGTTGATATTTTTTCATTAAGTGTACAGTATGCATATGTATAATATCTATTTTATTAATCACTGTGAAAGATAGTGACAGTCAAGATATTTTTGCCTGAGATAAGAAGTCTACAGTCTTGATGAGCTAGACATTTTCAATACATACTTTAATAAGGTTGTCATTTTATATTGGAAGTACTTATATATTTCCAAGACCAGGTCAGAATGCAGAAATTGGCATTGTGTGAAAATGGAAAACAACTATATGATTATGATTATATAACTGCCAAGCCTTTAAGGATTATGACCTAGCCATAATCTTAAGCATCATACATACCACTATATGTGGGATATTTCCACCATGGTCATACATATGAAATGTGGAATAAAAAGATGGTTGGTAAATGGGGAGTAGATGTATAACCAGTGCTCTGTATCTGTACTTTAGCATGCTTGGCATTAATAACATACATATGCTGTGAAGATTTCTGTCATTTGTGTCCGGTGTCCGTGTTTAGGACAAAGTTAGTTTGCTTGAACTTGGACTTCCATGCCTTACCTTTAGATTTTCAGCACTATAGCATATGTGGCTAACTTTCACTTAAACTCCAAGTGAAGATATGTAGAAAGTAAAGAAAGATCAGAATGGAAATACTGGAGAAGGTAAAATACAGAATAGCTAAATTTGAAAATTGGATATTTTGCTATTTCAGCCTTTCTGAAGCTGAGTCTGAGAGCTGAGCTGTTATAATCTATAGTTTTTAGATGGTTTCTTTCTTGTTTGGGGGAAGAGTTTAGAGCTTTGATAATAATTTTTCTTTGCATATTTAGTAGACTTTACCAATGAAGCCATCTGCTCCTGGACTTATGTGTGATTTTGGTGTTAATCTTTCATATGCCTACTAAAATGTTCTGTTTCTTCTTGAATAAGTACTTTGTGGGCTTTGCAATTTATCAGTTTTGGATACTTTGTGTTTTTTAATAATTTACCCACTTCATCTACATAATCTACTTTGTTAACATATAAATGTTCATAATATTTTTTATAATATCCTCATTTTATTCTTGATTTTAATAATGTGAGTCTTGGAATTCTTTTTTTCCCTCCAATCAATCTAGATAAAAGGTTCAATTCTGTTGGTCATTTCAAAGAACCAACTTTCGATTTTTGTCTCTTTCTTTTCTTTCTAAATTTTATGTTTCTGTTTTTGAGAATATAGGACGCTCTGCTGGTCTAGGGGGTAAGGAGTTGCTGTCAGCTCACAGGCAGGCGGTTTGACCACACCAGCAGCTTCTCAGGAGAAAAACAGGCAGTCTTCTTCCAGACAGTCTTCAGCCTCTGAAAACCTGCTCGAGGGTCAGCTGTGGTTCAGGTTCCGAGTCTCCAGCAGCAGATGAGAATATATATGACCAACACCAATTCAGCACTTTCTCGGTGGATAGTTTAGTGACGTTGGTCATATTCCTCACTGTGCAGCCATTCTCATATCCTCTTTTTCTTTTTTAATTTTTTTCAATTGTGATTTTTTGTTTTTTTGCACTAAGTAGCTTTATTAAAGGAAGCCAGGATTACAAAGGACTTAAGAGTTGTCATTGGTCCCTTCTCGCCAAAGGTGGGCACAACATTGACAGAACATCAGTTGTACTGCACCCGTCTCTTAGCTCGGCCAGCCGTCTTCTCTTTTCTCTCCTGTTTGCCACCTTGGGAGTCTGACCTCTCACTTTCTCAGCACAAGCCAAGGAACCATGGACTTTAACCTCCAAGCATGCGGCCAGCTCCTTCCAGAATGGTCAGGGGCTCCAGCCCACCCTGGCCCAGAACAGCCTCATCTTCCAGGGGTGATGCCCTCCCGCGACGCTACATGAGCCTTGATCTGGGCCACTGTCTCCTGGTCACCTCGGGGGGGTGTAGCTCCTGGGCGGGAACAGAAAACTGTATGAAAAGCTGCATGATGGTAACTAGAATGCTGGCCAGGCTGCCGAGGCCACGAAGCTGAGAAGGAGGAAAGGACTGGACTATGCATCCTCTCTGCCTGCTGTGTGCAATGTCACTCTTTAATTGTGATTTCAATGGAAGTTCACAGAAGAGTTAGATTTTCATTCATTCATTGTTACTTATGCTCCTTTTCGGAGCTGCTCCCCCCACCCCCATTAACTCAATGGCCATGAGGTGTTTTAGTTTGAGGCTTAACACACTGTTTACCATTCAGTAAGGGCCACATATTCTTGTCAGCTACTTAGATACAGCAAACTTAAAGAAATGCCCTGAAGTGCTGAGAAGTACATTTCCCAAAGTCATAGAACTAATAAATGGTACAGTAAGGATTTCAACTTACTCTGTTTAAATTCAGAGCCTAAAGTTTTGACAATAATAATATACTGCTTCCATGGCTTCCCCCCTCCCAAATAAAAAAAATCCTCTGGATAAGAGTTCGGAATGAGGGTTGCCGAGTGGAGTATACT